TACTCATATCCCCATTCTCTTTTTAGCCCACAGTAATCTCGCTTCTTATTTCATTGTTCCATTGAAACTAATCTTTGTAAATTCATATAAATGCCAAATGCTAACAAATACATTCTGTCCTTATAGGTCTTGACCTCTGCAAGTTAGATGTTTGATGTTATTGATTATTCTTTCCTTCGTGAGATTCTCTGCTTCCTTGACTTTCATGATACCACACTGTCCTGGCTTTCCTTCCATTTCTCTGTCATTTCCTTCTTAGATGTCTTCACAGGCTTCCCCTTCCTTTACTTATATCTTCAATGTTTATGTTTCCTCACGTCACAAACTATGTATGATCCTCACTTCACATGGGACTCCAACATTTTATGTTCATGATTCTGAAATCCATCTTCCTTAGCTCACTATTTTCCCCCTAAATCTTGTCACCATCTGGTATCCAGTATATTTAATTAACTGTTTATTTTTGCTCTTTCTAATTAGGAAGTAAGCTCCATGATGGCAGACATATGATCTATTTTGTTATTTTCCAGAACTTAGAACAATGTTTGGTACATAATACAGATATTCAAGAAATAATTGCTGAATGAATGAATAAAATATATATTTTGATCATATTTTCCTACATAATCATTTAATTATAAATATTTATAGCAGGCATACTCTGTGCCAATAATCATCTAAACACTGGAGTTACAGCATTGAGCAAAGCAGACAGAATCCCTGCCCCCATGAAGCTTACATGAGCCAATAAACAAGGTATGTAAGTAAATTTTAGTGTAGGTTAAATAGTAATAAGTACAAAGGAGAAAAAATAAAGCTGAGAAAGAGGATTTGAAATGTTAGTTTGTAGGAATTGAAATTTTAGATACAGTGGTCAAGGAAAGCATCACTGAGGAAGTGAGGGAACCAGCCATACATATATCTGGGGGTAAGAACATTCTAGTAGAAGAAACACCAAGTATAACGGCCCTGATGTAGAACTTGCTTGCCTTGCAAAAAAGCAAAGGGGCTGGTATGGTTAGAGTGAAGTGAAGGAGTGGGAGAGAGGTTCATAGGGCACCAGATTCTGTCTTGCCTTGTAGGTCACGGTCAAGCCTTGGGTTTTGTTTTGCATGAGATGAGAAGCCATTGCTAGGAAACAGAGAGGTGATTCAATGTAGCTGTATAGCAAATAGACTGTAGAAGGATGGGGAAGGGCAGAGGCAGAAGCAGGGAGACCAGTTTGGAAGAGACAGTAGGGATCCCTTAACCTCTGGGCCCATATATCCAACTGCCTCATCATCATTTACATAATCTAAAGCATCACACAGAACACATTTGCCACACAGAACACATTTGCAATTAAAGCTATGATCACCTCCCACCTTCCCCACACCTGGTTTTCCTTTTCGTCCCCTATTCTAGTAAAAAGTATGACTTTGTATCCATCCAAACACCAGACCAGAAGCTTGGAAGTTATTTCATTTTGCAACGGATTATGCCTGCTCTCTCTTCCATTCCCTCAGCCTCATCATTTCTTGTCTATTTCATGTACTTTAACCTCTCTGAACCTCAGTTCCTCATCTGTACACTGGCCAACATACCATATAGGACTTATGTGGGGATTACATAAGCAATGCCTGTGGAATGTTTGGTATCACCCCTGTCTCCTAAGAGCTTTCAATAAATACAAACTACTACCGCTATCATCTATGTCAATAGAGGATTACTGAAGGTAAAATGAGGACAAGGTCAGTCTCCAGGAGAGGCAATCCTATCACCAGAGACAGGTGGTGATGCAGGAAAAGCAGAACTAGGGGCCTACTGGGGACGGAAGCTTCAGGTCAGCAAGTGGCTCTCCTAATTAGACCAGGAGTGACAGTTAAACCAGACCCAAGAGGCAACTGTCAATTGAGGCTGTCAGGAGATGGCTGTGAAGCTAGGTGAAGAAAAGTAGGACACACAAGGGACAGTTCTCAGCGAAGTGCTTTTTACACTCTTCTGGGTCAGGGGATTTCAACGTACCTGGCTCCTTTAAGAAGCAATATTAAAAGTAGATGCCTGGTCTTATAGATAGAACTATGTCCCCCTCAAAAATATGTTAAAGTCCTAACCTCCATTACCCCAAAATGCAGCCTGATTTAGAAATGGGTGTGTACAGAGGTAAGCTATTTAAGATCAAGTCATTAGAGTGGGCTCTGAGTTAGTATGAATTGGTATCCTTATAAAAAGGGGAAATATGGGGGCGCCTGGGTGGCTCAGTCGGTTGAGCGGCCGACTTCGGCTCAGGTCATGATCTCGCGGTCCGTGAGTTCGAGCCCCGCGTCGGGCTCTGTGCTGACAGCTCAGAGCCTGGAGCCTGTTTCAGATTCTGTGTCTCCCTCTCGCTGACCCTCCCCCGTTCATGCTCTGTCTCTCTCTCTCTCTCAGAGATAAATAAACGTTAAAAAAAAAAATTTAAAAAAAAAAAAGGGGAAATTTGTACACAGTAACAGACATGCACAGAAGGAAGATGATGTGGAGATATGCAGGGAGAAGATGTTCATGTGACTGTAGTGATAAATCTATAAGCCAAAGAATGCCAAAAATTGCCAATAAAACCCAGAAGGCAAAAGAGTCAAAAAAAGGAGTTTTCCCTAGAAACATCAGAGAAGCATGGCCTTCCAACACCTTGATTTGTGACTGGTAGCCTCCAAAACTGTGAAAGAATAAATCTCTATTGTTTTAAGCCACCCGGTTTTTGGTGCTTTGTGATAGCGGATCTAGGAAACTAATACACCCAGCAATGCAAAATAATAGTCAGTTCTTCTAGACTGTATAATAAATGCATTAGATGCTGTGCTAAGCACTTTTCATGGATTTTCACATTCAATCCTCACGGTTCTGTGGGTACTATTATAAGTTTATTTTATACATGATAACACTGAGGTTTAGTGAGGTTAAACTTGCCTGGTATCACACGATAAGTAGTAAAGGACAGAACCTAAATTTGAACCCTCTCTGCCTGACCAGGAACTCAGAGTCTCAACCACTATATACTGCCCCCTAGTGCAAACAATAGCACACTGAAGCTTTAGAGTAGATGTAAGGCAAAACCTGAGTTCAAGGATATTATCATCTTAGTAAATTACAGGTGTCATCTCTGCATCTATGTGCCATCTTCCTGAAACAGTGCCAAAGGCAGCCGTGGTACCATGGAAAAGAACAGAGTGAGAATTGAATGGTCTGGATTCAACTCAAGACATTTTTTTTTTTTAAATGTTTATTTATTTTTGAGACAGTGAGAGACAGAGCATGAACGGGGGAGGGCCAGAGAGAGACGGAGACACAGAATCTGAAACAGGCTCCAGGCTCTGAGCCGTCAGCCCAGAGCCCGACGCGGGGCTCGAACTCACGGACCGTGAGATCATGACCTGAGTTGAAGTCGGCCGCTTAACCGACTGAGCCACCCAGGCGCCCCTCAAGACATTTTGATTAGGTAGATGTTCGGCATTGGGGTGAACATCTAACCTCTCAATTTCTTCTTCTACAGAAATGTCTCCTGATGCTTCAATTCCTCCTTGTATCTCTTTGTAGTCATTCATTTGTTAATTCAATAAATATATCCTAAGCAATTATTACACATCAACAAACAAAGTGAGATGTTGGGATTTGAAAATGGAAAAGACAGCCTCTGCCTCTCAGAACTCCCAGTCCCAATTTCAACACTTAGATTACATTTCTTGTTGTTTCTGTTATATGTTGGTAATCCTGGTTGACATTAAGGTGGAATCAGATTTTTTCTTACTATTTCCTATTTAATATGTATAGCAATAAAGAACACTGATTTTGGAAAAGACAGATCTGAGTTTGAATCTTGTATTTCTACTTTTTAAATTGAAGTGTAGTTGATACACAATGTATATTAGTTTCAAATGTACAACATAGTGATTCACAACTGTATATATTGTGCAGCGCTCACCACTGTTAAGTGTAGTTAACATATATCACCATAAAAAGTTATTACAAGGTTACTGACCATATTCCCTGTGGTGTACTTTCCAACCCCATGTCTTATTTATCTTATAACTGGAAGTTTGTACCTCTTAATCGCCTTTACCTATTTTCACCCATTCCCCACAACCCCATCCTCTCTGAACCTGTTTTTTCTCTGTATTTGTGAGTCTGTTTCTGGTTTGTTTTGTTTTTTAGACATACGTAAGTGGAACCATACAGTATTTGTCTTTTTTCTGTCAGATTTATTTTACTTAGCATACATAATCCCCACATATTTTTTATGTAACATTGAGCAGGTTACCTAAGTTCTCTACACTTAAATTTTCTCATTTGTAAAATGGGGATAATAATACTTCTCTCATATTGTCGTTTTGAGGATTAAATGAGATAAGGTGTACAAAGCAAACATTTCACTGCCTGTCAAATCAAAAAGCTTAATGAATCTAATATTATTATTAATGACTTGGCACATTTTCTCAAACACAATAAATACTCAAATGGTTAATAAATTATTGAAATATGATATAATGAAAACATTTTATCAACTTCTGGGTTATAAAATGTAACATATTTTCTGCAAAATATGTATGTGCACTTAATCGCTCTGTTACCACTTCTTTTCTAAAGGATAAAATTGGAAAACTGTTTGGAATGCTGCTAAATTTTAATTTTCTGGTGATTAAAAAAGAGACTGTCAATATTTGTTCCACAAGTCAGGAGAGGTAACTAAATATGAATAGCTGATGCATTGAGAGCTCATTTGTATGCAAAATAAATTCAAGGTTATCTGATTGACTGTTTTACTTGAATCAGCTTCTTAGTTAAAAATTAGTCTGTCTCATAATTTTGACAGATTAAAGTAAACAATAACAATAAAAAACAAAATTGAACAAATTGTTTGGAATAGCTATTGCTGTTTACCTCATTTACTTTGACTATCTCTGAAAGTCTAAGCTATATCTGTCAAGAAGCCAGCCTAAACAATACCTATTCCAGAAGCCATTTATAACCACTGACCTCAAAATAAGCACCAATCTGTTTTTCTTTTATTCCTGTTTCCATGGACCACATTGCAGTAATTATTTGAGTATGAGTCTTAGATCTTTTGTTCGACCCCAGAGTTCCTGCAGGAAAACAAATCTGTATTACAGGTATCTTTGCTTCTCATGTCATTTAATAAGTGCTTTACATAGAAGATACATCCTTTGCATGAATGAATCAATGAAAACAAGTCAATGGATGAATAAATGAATGAATAGCTGCCTTTCTAAATCATTACTTCATTTAGGAACACTCAGTATAAACATTACCAACAGTTTGAATATGTGATATTTCCAAATTTTTGCAAATTTAATTTCTAATTAAAAAATTGTTTAATGTATTATAGTGAGACAATCTCACTTTACCTTACACACTACCATTTACTTATTCATTCAAAATTTATATTGAGTGCCAACTATGTATGTACCAGGTATTGTACTACGTAGTGGAGATTCATTCTTCACCCTCCAACAGAATGTTCTCTCTAAAGCAGAAAGACTCCTGTGCTTCACCATTATCTCTTGGATAAAGTTGACATTTTTAACATGGCCCACATTTACCTGCCTACCTCTCTCACTTTATAATTTGCTGTGTGGATCCTTTGCCCCCACAAGGGTAGTCTGCAGCCACTTAGAATTTGAAATTTTTCATCATCATATAAACTCTCATAATCTATATTTGGGAGATGGTATTTCCTTTGTCCAGATCATCATTATCCATACACATTTTTATTCAGTATTTAAAACTCTATCAAAGTCACCACTCTGCAATCTCTCTGGGTATACAGAGTCATCTTGACCTCACTTTGTGAAATTTCTCTTTTCAGTAAGTTCTTTGCGTCCTGTATTTGTTTCTGTCATCACATTTAATGCAATCTATCAAAAGCATTGATTTACTAGTACCTCTTTTCTATTGGATTATAATTTCCCTGTGTGTCTCGTTTATCTATGTACCTAGTACCAGGAAAATAGAAGGTACTCAATAAATTTGTATCAAGGCAAAAAAAAAATCAAGGAACACTTTAAAACTAGCTATTTATCATAAGCATCCAATTCTCCATTCTAACGATTATATTATCTAAAATATGTTAATTATAACACCTATATTTATATTGCATTTTATAATTTCCCAAATGCACATGAGGTAATTTAAGCTGAAAATGTATATTAAAAGCAAGTTGTATATGCATAACTTTTATTTATTTCAAGGTGAGGGACTTATAAGATGAATTGTGATTTGTAATTTTCCTCTTTCCAGGGCCCTAATGGATCCATATTCCCAGCCCCTTGAGGTTGAGCAATGCAGCGTGAAGGGAAGCTGAGCGCACCACTTCCAGATGGAAGCCCTTAGGAGATGGTGCTGACTCCCCTCAGCACGAAGCAATACCTTGCACTCCTAAGTAAAGACAACACAGAACAGCACTCACCACTGACATGTTGCAGGAGCAAGGAAGACAAACAAGCAAACAAAATCCAAACTTTATGTTGTTGAAAGCCTCTGAGATTTTTAAGGATTTTTGTTACTGCAACACATTCTACTCTATCTTAAATAATAACCAGAGTCTATTTATATGTGAGAATCAAATGATGCCATTTTTTTACATAACTTACTCTCATTCCTACTTATTATTTAATCCACAGAAAGATCAAAGATGTGAACAGTAATATACTGTGATGATCCTGCTGGCTCTGCCTGTATCTTCAGCAGGAATGTCTAGGGAAAGGAATTTAGTCCATCAGCATTAAACTGTGAATTTGGGTGAGAAAAAAAAAAAAAGAATAGCTGAGACAGAGTGAAGAAAAACATGAGAAATGCATTCAGTTTGGAAGAGGATTCTATCTGAAAAGAGTTAGTGCCTAAGGCCCGACAGACTCATGTTGCTGTTACTTTATTTTTTTCAGAAGATAGGAAGAAGCAGAAATGACTACATCATATGCAGTCCAATAAATCTGATCATTTTTGGAGCAGAGGACTTATTAGTTATTGAGTCCCAACTGCACACTTTAGTTAGTGCTGTGGAGATCTAAAAGGGAGGCCTGGGCAGGAATTCCTTCTCTCCATGTTCTTCCCTCTCAGGTTGGTCTTGAGGTCACTGATTTCAGATACCATTAGGCAGGTTCAATGTGTATTCAAATTTGTTTCCCCCATGTTTTCATGTAGATGGTGTAAAAAATAATTTCTTAAAGATATTAATTAGCTCAAGTGGATTCAAACTATGCACTATAGGTGTTCTCAGGAGAAAGAAAAAGGAAGGTAAATTGAGTAGTTACTTATATGTGTGTGTGTATACATTATATACTGAAGGCACACCCAACAGATGCACATAATTACAATAGTCCCATTATAAAAATATTCACCTTGTCTTCATATTAAAGAGAATGAAAAAGAAAAGTATCAGTGGCATTTCCAAGTTTTCATATCAAGTCCCTAGTTTTGGAAAATTTGAAATCAAAGATTTAATAACTGGTCAAATTCTCACAGTGATTAAAAATATCATATACCTTACTTTTAATTTAATGAACTAGCTCATATCAACTCTTATATTCTATGCTTTATTTCTATTTATGATACTAAAACTGAGACTTTATGATATATGTTCCTTGCTCTTTATAAAATTCAATATATCCAAATATGTTTTTCGCATATAACTAAAACATTTATTACAAACATCCTTTAAATAGTAAGCCCTCGATGAATTTAAATGCTGATGGTCCATCAACTGATTCACAGAGAATCTTGAAGGGCAAAAACTGATGAAGGTGTTATATGGAGCAGTGCCAATTGCAAATCAATCAGAAATGCAAATAAAATAGCTCTCCTACTGCAAGTCAATGTAATTAGGTTTACCCTTATTTGATTTGCACAAAACTTTTCAGAAATTTGCGTACTGAATAAATGACACGTATGCATAAAATTAATCGAAAAGTCTAGTGTTTGTATGCTCTGCCTCCAGGCTGCAAATTTCTCAAATTAATTTCTAAATTTGCCAAGACATGTTTTCAGTCAATGAGAATAACCATTCTTACACAAAATTGCACGAACATGTTAAACTATTTATGCATTTCCAATTTCGGAAAACTCCTCAGCCTCACCCCATCATCTAGCTTCCAACTTGAAACTTCTCATCTATCCTTCCTATTTTTTTCCTGTACTTCAGTCCTATCTTTCTGACTCCAAACAGAACACATTTACTAATTCTCAATCTTCAAATAGCATGTATTCTTTCAAAGTCTTTTTATGGAATACTAATCTTGTAGGCACTGGGCTAGGTGTGGGAAAGACAGCACTAACCAAATAATACTTTACTAATATCATTTAGGTTCCAATCTAAAACCAACTCTAGGGGCGCCTGGGTGGCTCAGTCGGTTGGGCGTCTGACTTCGGCTCAGGTCATGATCTCGCGGTCCGTGAGTTCGAGCCCCGCGTCAGGCTCTGTGCTGACAGCTCAGAGCCTGGAGCCTGCTTTGGATTCTGTGTCTCCCTCTCTCTCTGACCCTCCCCCGTTCATGCTCTGTCTCTCTCTGTCTCAAAAATAAATAAACATTAAAAAAAATTTAAAAAAAAAATAAAACCAACTCTAAATTTCCTCCGTTGGATAAAAACTCTCCAATTGTTCCTGTGACTTGAAAAAAAAATTTAGGCACTATTACCTGAAATTATTATTTTACTTTTTTCTTTCCCTCCAATCTGCCCCTAAGTAGTACTTTTTTCAGCATTTTTATCTTTGTCGTTAATATATGAGGAAAAAATGCTATTGAACAGCTATCACATGTCAAGAACCGTTCTAGGTTGTAGAAATATAAGAATAAAAACCAAAACAAAAAAAGCTTACCTATTACAGGGAGAGAGATAGACAATAAATAAAAATAAAGTGGTTAAGAAAGCTATGAAAAAAAGAAATGCATGAAAAGACTAGGGAGGGTGATTGTGGGGGTTAATTTTAACAGTCAAAGAAGACCCTCCTTGCCCTTTGTATAATGTAGAGTATTTCTGGTGCCTTATTACCTTATGCTTGAATGAGTATAATCTGTGGTCTCCCTGACTTTCCTATCTCATCCTCCTAGCTGTCTTTTTTAATCCTTCCAGACTACTCTTCAGAAGACACTGGGTGTAATTATCACATTTCACTTTTAAAATGACTTCCAATTGATTCTATGCTAAAGATATCAACTCTAAAATTTTATCTCATTATCTGGTCCTCCTTAAGTTATCTCAACAACTTCCCACTCCTCCCTGGTGCTGACTCCCAAGTCTGTCCTCTTCTTCCCATGTCTTTATTCAAGCTGATCTCCTGTCTTGGAATTCTCTACCCTTTCCTTTCCAATATCTCCCTTCCCTTCTCCTAAACCTCCACTCAAGCCTCAGTTTTCTCCTGAAGTTTTTCTGTCTAACCTTGGATTTGGAGAGAGTCTTTTCTCCAAAGTTCTATAAAAAGAAGATTGAAAACCAAAAATTTAGATCTTTATCTTACCCTAACTTATATCACTCTTTAACTATTGTGTGACAGTCTCCAGTCCTGCTTCAGCTGGTAGGACTTCAGCTCAGCACTGACAAAGACCAGTGCTCATCACTTGGTATCTTTGCCCCCTGAGAACAGGCATAACGTGTTCTCATGCTCTTTTAAATATCCCTCATTGTCTACAACAAGAACTCTATAAAAACAGTCTTTTGATTATGAATACATTTCTTGTTTGTTTATGTTTTTAAAACAGAAAATCTGGAGACTATTTCTTAGGTTTATAAATTTCTGACCTCCTTCTTCTAATTAACCTTGAAGTCCCACTTGAAATAGTCTGCCTCTTAGAGGTTCCATATATCACCATCTATCTCCAGTGAATAATTTGGCTTCCCACATCAGAAGATTCCACTAAATAATGAAGTTACAAAAATGTAACCCCAGAGAGCACTTACATTATTTAGATTATTTTCTTTTATTCACTGTTGGAACTTCTTTTAATCCTGCAGTGCCTCCTAGAATGCATAGTTCGTTTTAAATCATAACACATTATGTAAGTCATACCAAAATCCACCCGTTACCTTCATATGCCAAAGATCCTAAAATAAATTTGTTTTTTGAAAACTTTTCATAGAAAATTGTGATGATATTTTGTCATCCTTGATACTCAGTCTCCTAGTTCCCCGACATCCCATGGTGTAAAACTCTGGGCAAATATCTGCCTACTACTCTTCACTTTGTGAGAAAGATGAAGGCAAGACAATCTTCATGGGACCCAGCTTCCTGTAACCACAGAGACCAAAGAATCTGAACACTAAAGTGCCTTCTAACTGGGTCCAGGTGCCGCGTTTTGTGTAGCTGATCTGCCCATGAGTGATTCCTCTTTGCCTAGTGTTTAAGATGCACGCAAATAGAAAGCCAGATTGTTTTTGTTGTTTTCTGTGCTCTTGGCTACTTCATTCTAATATTATCACATATAGAAATAAAAGCTTTAAATCTTTTTAGGACTCTGTCTAGGGATATTTTGCATGCTTCTTTTGCAAGTCCGCTGCCACCGCTTCAGAAACTCCCCTTCATTCAGGATATCATACACAGACAGAGAGAAAAAGCGGATTCTCTGCTTTACTTACATTAAACCCTTCCAGGTATTAAATAAGTTAAATACAAGTCTGTTCTTTTGTATGCCAGTATAATTGCACTTAATTTTATTGCTAGTTTAACATTTGAATTATTTTAAAAAGGGGAAAAATACAAGTACTTATAAAGCATGTCTTTATTATTGCAAATCTTTTTTCATTTTAATTCTATGCTAAGTGTACTAGTAAAAAGAATATGAGTGACCTTGTGTCAATCATGTCTCCCCTGCGTCTCGTATCTTGCCTGGAACACAACAAATCCTTGAAAGATAAATGTCAAACGAGTAAATAAATGAATAAATGTGAATTAGTTTTGTTTAAACTTAATATTTCCATATATGGTCTTTCATATTGTTTTGTCAGATATATGCCAATGTTTTAATCATTAATGACAGTACTTGAGATTGGGGGAATATTTTGAAGCATTTTACCATTAGCAAACTTAAAATAAATCATGAGTTTTCAGGTATCATAGGTACGTTTCAGAACCCAAGGCTATGTCTACGTTAAAAATAAAAGGAGCAGGGGCGCCTGGGTGGCGCAGTTGGTTAAGCGCCCGACTTCAGCCAGGTCACGATCTCGCGGTCCGTGAGTTCGAGCCCCGCGTCAGGCTCTGGGCTGATGGCTCGGAGCCTGGAGCCTGTTTCCGATTCTGTGTCTCCCTCTCTCTCTGCCCCTCCCCCATTCATGCTCTGTCTCTCTCTGTCCCAAAAATAAATAAATGTTGAAAAAAAAATTTTAAAAAAAATAATAAAAAAAAAAGGAGGAAAAGTGATCAAATCATAAAATTAAAAAGAAGTGTCTTTATTAACGCCCATACCAACTGAGCAATTAGATTTTCGTATGAATAACATTAAGGTAAAATTTTTTACTTAGTATAATCTTATGCACATTAAAATAATTATTATGATTTGGTCAAATTGAGTTAATTCCTATTTCCTATATATACTTTCTACTACTCTGCTCATAAGGCTTTGCCTAGGATTCCCTTACCCCATTTATCCAGACACAAATTCTATCTATCCTTTCCTGATAAATTCAATGGCACCTCTTTCATGAGGCTTTCCATAAATCTCAACTGACAGAAATATTTTCTTCCTGAAATTTTAGACTATTTGGTTATGCTACTTGGTATAATGACCACTAATTTAAAATGGATAAAGCCTATTTAATGCTCTATTTCAACATTACCGACTACATGAGCAAGAACAGGGCTCTGTACCTTTATGTGCCTCATTATACTGATCTGATAAGAGGAATATTAGTATGGATAGCAGAAATAGTGCTTTTTGTTTATTACATTATTTTCTTTTTTATGGGGCCACGGGAAAACATTTCCCAACTTCTCTTGGATTTGTATTCAGGTCATATGATTGGTTCCAATCAAGAAAATGTGAGCAGAAATGACTTGTGTTGAATTAGACTCAGGGAGTTATGAGCTGCTGTGCCTCTTTGGCTGTACCCTATCCCTTGCTCCAGAGCCATGTGTTGAGATGGAAGAACTAGGACTGAGGCTTCTGGCTGATAATCATGATCAGAGATTGTAATCTCTCTGATCTATGCTTGAAAAGAGCCCTTGTTGACCCACATGGCACCTTTCATGGGTGAGAAATAAAGTTTTGAATATGTCACTGGACTTCCCAGGTTAATTTATGATCATGGAAAGTTTATCTCATCCTGATATCTACACTTTCTTATTTCACAGAGCTGAGCTTAGGATTCAGTGAAGAAGAACACGTTTTGAATATATATCCTATATACTATTATGCTCATTTTTTTTACCTATATGCATTAATGTAATAATATATTAAATTATTTTGAAATTATAAATATTAATTGTATAAAAGGATTAGTAATTTGTTTCTGCACATCTTCTATTTTGCTAATGTGTAAGTTCTTTAAGAATGGATTGAAATATAATTTAATAGAGGCAGTATTGTACAATATTTAAGGAGGTTTTAGATTCAAATCTTATTCCTGCTACTTACTAGCTATATGACTTTGTACAGGTTATATAAAATATCTCCATGTCATGTTTACTCATCTGTAAAATAGGGTAAGTAGTGTTACCCACCTCAATGAATTTTTGTAGTGCATAAGTGATTTGGTGCATATAAAATGCTTGGAAAAATCTCTGTCATGAACAAACATGTTTAAAAAATGTTTAACTTATTATTTTCTCCATGTTCTTCCCAGAATTCAGCAACAGTTTGGAAAAGTGAATAGATGGTAAGTTTAATGTTATCTTATTTCTTATATTATAATGTCACTTAAATCTGTCTGTAGTCAAATTTCCTACAATTTATTTTCCACATTATTTTGTATC